TTTGCAGTTTCTGGATGACTGCTGCACAGGTCAGAGTGCAATCATGGTGCCAGTTCGCTCTTAAATGTTAAATAGAGGTTAAAATTATTTAGTAGCAGCAAAAGACAAGGTCTTAGAGCATACCCACAGTGAAGAGAAGGAGATGATCTTCATTGTCACAATATTTATAAGGAACAAGTGGTTTGAGAGGCTACCATGCCAAAAAAAATTTCAATGACTCTGAGAAAGTGATTTTTGAAACTCAAATTTTCTTTTGTTTTTAAAATACCAATGAGTTATTTGAGTGAAAGTTGAAGCCAGTCCCTTACCAGCGGTCCCCAGGCAATAAGATCTCTGCAAATATCACAGATTTATGAGGCTTTTTTTCCTCAGAGCTCCAGCCGTCAAAGTGCCCCTCTGTGTAACCATGAAAGCCAGACCCAGGAATTGCTTCGTTACTGGAAAAAAACCTCATTGTTCTTAGACTACACAAGTGGGTCACTGAACTGCTGTTTGCCTTTGCAATGCCAGTGAATCCAAATTAGCTTGACTTCCACAGAGGATATAGGGAAGGAAAGCAACCATCATGAATCAGAGCAACACAAGCAGCTCTTCCAAAACAAATTGGCTTCAGCAGTCAGCACACAGAGTCCTTCAGTCAGTGAGGCCAAGATGAACTTAGGCCAAACTTTGCATGAAAAAAAAAGAGCAACTGGTTTAATGTGCATCCATGGAGTCTGTGTTGGTTTCTTCTCCTTCCTCACCTGCAGGAAGCTCTGAGCAAAGTGAGCAAAGTAAAAGTGCACATCTCCATGCAGCCATCTCTTTAGTGTGATTTCCAACACACCTAAACTAACCTCAAGGGCAGGTTGGGTGTCTAGATATTCCCTTTTTCCCAATAAAGAGACAGGTGATAGGCATGGGATTAATTTCCCATGAAATACTTGTAGTATAATTGATATAATCTCAATTTAATGGCCAAAGGAGAGAACAAACTTGTCCTAAGAGGCGGCCAGCAGACTTGCCTGTGTCAGACATCTCCTGTGAGATGAGACAAGATGTGCTGAAAGCAATTCCTCCTCATGCATCACAGAAAGGAGGTTTAGACACCTAAACACACATCACCACCAAAACCATTCATATCTGGTCCCATATATCCCTCTCTTCCAGGGAGCACTTTGACCCAAGTTAAAATCGGTGTTTTGAGATGGGTGGGATGAATAATTTTCTCTGGGGCCAGGGAAAAGTAAATTTTAAGAGGCAAATCTGGGCTGTTGGTATTAATGGCAGGAATCATCATTGCTGCTCAAGGCCCAAGAGAAATGAGACCCTCATTGAAAACAAAGGCACTGAAGCAAGACCAGTGCAGGAGAGAACTTCTACTGGCTTCTCCCTGCCATATTTGTTTGCCTCTCAGTCATTTTTCAAATTCAGATTTTCTACTGAAAGTAAGATAAAAAAGTGAAAATTGTCACATTTCTGTGAGCAACAGGGTTTCCATATGGAAAAAGGCCTCCTTTTTGTAGCAATATTCAACTCTTATTGCTTTCATCTGCATTGTGACCCTGTGTGTTCCCACAGATAATGCACTGAGGCAGCTTAACTGTGACTTGTAGTAAAAATAAGTTTAAGCAGAAACAATTATTTTCCAATTATAATTTAAAATGAAAGAAAATAATCTGCTGATATAGATAGATATAGGCAGATAGATATACATATAGATGATATAGATATAGCTATAGATATAGATTGGATATAGATATAGATATAGATAGATTAGATATAGAAATACATATTCCAAAGCTCTGGCAGCTCCCACTAATCTTTTAGAGTTTAGATCACATGAGAATTCACTGAGTAATAAAACACTGCTGTTAGCACACACATCTCAAGAGGAAGGAGCACCTCACCAAATTTAAAATGCAGACAAAGGAGCTCATCATGAAGATATTTACTCTTTTTTTAACATTTCTATCATTTCAGGGAACCTAAAATGTCTTTTTTTTGTAGTAGCTAAGTAAAAACTATTTACTGGTTCTTTGTTATGTTAATGTGCACGTTGGGACTGGTTCTCCAAGTTGTATTGTTGAAGTGACTGCATGGGTTACATGCAAATATTGTGCCAAATAACCAGCCACTGAATCATTATTCCTGACAGAAATCCCTCCATTAAGTTCCACAGAAGGTCTTAAACTCAAATGTTTCAGTGGTGTTGACATTTCTGATTTCTGTATTTATGTATACATTTGCTGGTAGACTAATAAAAACACTACACTGACTAATAAAAATACTGCATACACACACACACACACACACACACACGTTTATATACATATAAACAGCAATAAATAACAAATGTTTGTAAGCCAGCCTGCATTTACAGGATAATCACACTGTAACACAAGTAACAAGCAAACATACTCATGAATTAGCCATTTAACATAAGAAGGAAAACTGCTCAGTAAGATTTAAGAAACAGTTTGTGCCTTTGGTCCCCGAGCAGCACAGATGGAATTTGGAGCATGTAAAGCTCTGGCAGGTCCCTTAAAAGCAGCTCACCCACAGGGACATCTGGCTGATCGCTCTCCCAAACCCATCCCAGATATTTCCAAAACATCCAAAACCAGGAAAAACACCAGGAAGGACGACCTGCACTCACACTGCATTATCCAAATGTATGCAAGGGACATCAGCCTTCCTCCCTACAGCATCCCTGAGGGCTGTGGCACCAGGGCCCTTGCTGTCCCACCATGGGGACCGTGTCCCTTTGGGTGTAAGAAGAGCAGATTTTGTGGCACACAACACAAGAGGCATCTTGACCAACCCCTGGCCAGCAGTGGAAGTGACAAAAATGTCACTTTGTTTTCTGTTCATGGTGACAGAGAGTGATCTGGGTTTATGTTGGAACCCTGGATGCTGAGAATTTTAGACTTTCTGTGCTGACAGGCACTGACGCCCAAGAGAACACTGCATTTGACCTGAGTCCGTGGAGAAGGCTTCCAAAATTGAATGATAGAATTGAGATTATGGGTGTAGAGTTTGAACAGGAGTGTGTAATATCACAGGGTGGAAAACTTAGAGTTTAAGGTTTTAGAATGTAGTAGTATGTATACAGCAAGGTGGAGGTTTTAGGGATGACACTGGTCCCTCTTCTTCACCTTCTCCATCGGTTTGAGTGGTTTTGTGTAATTGGATAAAAAAGTCTGCATTTCGGGCAACAGGTGGTTGGTTATTGGGTTAAAAATAAAAATAATTTAGATGTCATTTCCTAACTGGACAGTTTATCCTTAAAAGGTCTTGTAGAAAGAGGGACAGGTCTCCATTTTCAGTTTGTTAAAGTGCTGTAGAACTCAGGGTTTGTGAGACTGTAATATAAATAAGAACTAATAAACATCTGAGTCTGACCAAGAAATACTGTCTCGTGCATTAAATCCCAACGCTGGCAATAAAGAAGCAAAGACTCCGCAGGTTTATACATATTTTTCTGGTGATCCACATCCAGTAGGGTACAGAACAGTTCCCTGTGCTTCACAGGAGATCTGGATTGCACATTTCCTTTAGCAGCCAAACTTTTGTAAGTGATATTTGTCATTACGGGCTTGTTTCAAGCACAAGAGAGACTCTGTTTTTTCATGTACACCAATCAGTTCATATTTATGCCCTTGGCAGGGGTTGTCTCACTAAAATTGGCTTTATCTTTATCCTGAAGAACATATCTGAGGGAAAAAGGGCCTCCTGTCTGGGCAGGCTATTTCAGCAGCTCCTGCTGGCTGAAGAAAGCAGAGCCTTTAGACTCTGCTGCATTCATTTTCTGCCTGACTCCTCTTTGACCTTCTTAGCCAAAGTCATCATTAACTCATTTGCAGCTTTGCAATCAGCTCTACAGTCAGGTCAAGTATTAAATCCATTCCAGTTTCATTTTAGACTTCATGTAACAAGTTATTTTCAAAGTGAATGCAGGATTACATGCAGGGCAACACACATTATCTTAAATATATATACATTAAAAACCAACATGTAGCTGAAGACAGTGCTTATTTTCTGCAATACCAAAGTTCTACAAAACTCAATCTTATTACCCAAAATTGGGACAATGTGTTTCACTGGAAATGAGCTGCAGATAATTTTACAAACACATCACTCCATTGCATCAGAGTGGAATGCCTGTGAGTCTTTCTCCTCTGGTCTGGAGGTTTGCCCCAGAACTTGAGAGTTCACTGTGTCCAAGGACAACTAACAGGCACCATGGGACCTCAGCTACATTTTGTCCAAACTCCAGACACATTAAAATCACCAATTTATGCTTGAGGAAAAAAAGAAAACTAGCAGGTTTTTCTTCTGTCTGTCACAATGCAATTGATAACAATTTTTTGATTTTTCATTCCCCCACCCCCCTTCATCTCCCTAGAAAGTACTAACTATAACCATCAAAAAGTTCTTTCTGGGCAAGCTGTTTTCAAAAATATTAATGTTTTTGTGCATATGTGTGTGTGTGTGTGTGTATGTTTTATTCTTGCTCCAATGAAGAAAAAAAAACACAATTCACAAAAAAAATCCCTCAAATTGCTTTTGAAAAGTGCTGAACACCACCACCACAGCCATTATTCACCAACCACATCATGCTGTTTGACAACTCAAGTTGTTTTCTTAAAGTACTGCTGCCTGATTATAAGGAAACACACCAAACAGAAGCACATATGCACTTAAATGATGTGTTTTTATGGTGTCTTTCCAAGAAAAACAGTAGCTAATTGTTGACTTTCCTACTGGGAAATGTCTGTTTAATATGCAGATTTCTTAATGACTACTCTAAAGCAAATTGTCTGTGCTATGGTAATCTAATCATATATCCATCTATATTTTTATATATAACAAAGTTCAGTTCCTACTTAGAATATGCTTTATCGTCTTGCCAGGTAGCACAAATCTGTGTGCCCAGTGCTTCACAGCTGCCAGGTGTTTTGTTTATTGTAAATACTATCACTGAAAGCATTTGTAGGGTTTTTTTTCATCCCACTTACTTGGTGCTGACTTGCTTTTGCCAACTGCTCATTGGCTGATTCTACGTTGGAAGAAGAGGCCTCAATGTTGGCTTCAATGCTATCTGCAAATTAAAAGAAGATAATTACAGGGTAAGAACCAAAAAACAAAGGTTTTACACCTACAGCAATTTAGCAATTTACTCATGGGCATAAAGAGAGGAGCAGCATCTTGTTTGTGACCTGTATTTCTGCAGGGAAGGAGGACCAACACCCATTTTGATGAACATCCAACCCATCACTCAGGGTGACTGACAGCTGACAGGATGGAGGTGCCTCTCATCCCATTCCTTCTGAAATCAATGGGAAGAGTGACAGGGAATTCAACAGAAAGTGCCTCAAGACTGGCAAATTTACTGGATTAAATTACAGAAGGGACTTGGCACCTCAAATTATCTCGTTATTAGAGCTCAGGGATAAGATTTGCGTGGGTCCATGTGGGTTATTGACCATGCCCAGGTGTCTGCTCTTGATCAAATCATCTCAGACAATATCACTGAGAGCAAACCCATGGTGTGCAATTCCTCCTGCTCTCCTAATCAGGAGGTGATCAGATCAAGCAAACCACAAGCCCAACTCCTGGACCACATTTCCAAGCTGCAGTGGGGGTCTGTAAAATGGCTCAGACTGAGAAAAAATGCTGGAATCTACAATGAAATGAGAAGAATCTCACCCTACATTGCTGTGCTTGGCACTGGAGGAAGCCTGGATCAACCAGAAGGAATCAAAATGAGAATGGAAAAGAAAGATTATCAGCTACCCATCACAACTGAGTCCCTACTTCCATCAAAATTAAATATTAACTTTGACTCCTGACTGTGCTTAGAAAGCAAGACAGCTATGGTATAAAATTTGCAAAAAAGGTTTTGTTTTTCCAGCAGAAATCTTGGAAATCTCGACCCCCAAGACATATGCAGCCAATAATTTCTGCTCACATTGGAAAAGGATGTGCCCTTGGTCTGTTTCTTGATCAAATGGGTGGTTTTGAGCACAAAATACACCACAGAGTGCATGAACTCAATCAGGAGAACTCAGCCTCAGGTAGAAATTGGAGAATAAAGTTCCAGGGATTTCTCTAATCCTTAATAAAACCAATGGAAATTCTTCAATTAAATAGTATAAGGAGTTGGATTAAGGCACGCCACAAAAGATTCAAGTAATTTATTCTTTAAGGTTCTAAAGGAAAGAACAGGAATTAATCTTGCCACTTGTGTGGTGGACAAAGAAAATGAGGGTTTGCAGATAATTTGTGGAAAGTGCTTGCTTTCACATTTTGTCATTTTTAAATGAAACTGTTTTAAAGTCTGTTAAGGTAATTAAGCACTTATAACTCAAAATAAAATAAATTTTTAGAAAAGCAAAGAAAAGAAAAAAAAAACCACAAACAAAAGAGAAAAAGAGCAAAACCCCAAGTGCCTAATCAATGTCACAGAACTTGGTCATTTATAAAGCTCCTTGGGATCTTAGTGCAGACACCCTTCACTGCTCAACATCTCTTAAAGGCTGATTGGCCTCAGAAAATGAATCATTTAGGCAGAGAGGAGCTACAGAGGAGAAATGTATTAAATATCTCCTTCTAAAACAAGAGTTATCTGTCTGCACTTCTCCTGGGGAAGAAGGAAATCATAGAAGCAGCTTAATTTAGCTCCCTTAAAAGGCCCTCCAGAGGAACCCAACGCTTTCCTCTGCCTGCAGGGAGGCCTGAGGAGATTTGCCTTTGTTAGATAAAATTAAACACTGTGCACACTCCTTTAGTGCTGCCTGGAATGGAAGAACCACACCTCAGGCACAGCTTTTGTGAATATCATCTCTGTTTTTCCCAGCACAGGCTTTCCCAGGTAAGAAAGATGTGCTCCATGTCCTGGATGAGTTGATGGCAAGTCACAGAAGAAGCTTGGCCTTGGTGGAACTGTTTCTGCTCATTCCTTCTGCCAGTGGGGGAATATCAGCCTTGGAATAAGTAAAGCACCCATTTAAATCCTATTTTTTGAAGCAACTTGTAATCCTGAGGCACAGGGGAAAAACTAAGACAAACAAAAAAAAGCCCCACCAAACCAGCTCTAAAACTCTACAGTAATGAGACATAAATATGTAAAGCAATTTAACCAGGTATTTCTGCTGATTAACACAGGGAAGCAAGGCAAGGAAAGAGAATTTGGCTCAAATCACAAAGAAGTAATCAATAATTCAATGATGTTAATAAGTCAATGAAGAATATGTCACTGACAGACATTTCTTTGTGAATCTTTGCTGAACAAGTGGTGGTTCACAGCCTCGTCCTGGCCACTTTCAGGCTCCTACCTCACTTGGGAATGGAGAGACAAGGGTGGCAGGGTCCTCAATAGGCTGAAAAAACCTGCTGGAGGGATCTGCCTTTTCCTTTACCTTTGGCACGAAGGGACAGTGAGTTTGTTCCCAAACAGATGAAATAATCCAGCCCTGGGTCCGGAATTTCTCAAAGAAACTGAATCCCACAATGGCTTTCTGCCTTCAGACTCTGATGACAAATTTATTGTGCAATTTGAGAACAAAAATCTCAAGGGGATGCAGTCGACATTTTGATAAACTCAGGGATAGTGCTGCACCAAAGCAGATGGTGTTTGCAACCAAATATATCAGACAATTAGGAAAATATTTATCATTTTTCATTTAAAACACAGTCTTGCAATAACAGTAGCTAAGATGACAGAGCTAGCCAGGATTTAGATTCAATTTTTTATGATTTTATGACACATTTATCATGCAGAGATGGAAATAACAATGACCCCAAGCGGTATCTTTCAATTCCAGCTATTTATCTGTGTTCCTGAGATCAAGCCCTTCTAATGACCAACAGGAGTCTTATATGGGAAATTACTGGATTGACAGTGGCTGGAGTGGGGGTTTTGCCCTAATCTTTCAAGGAATCACTCACATGACCTGAATTTTTACAGCAGCAACAATGGATTGGTTTCACAAGGCAGAATTTCAGCTAAACCACTTGAAAGAGAGAAAAGTGAGCTCGTGAATGAGAATTTTTAAATGCTCCCACTTGGCAGTAACCAAAATGGGCCCCTTCAGGTTTTCATAGTATGCTTTTATTTTTAGCACTTTAATAAGCTTAACCCTCTTTTATGGCGACAACTTCTGGCTAAAAATAATCAATATAGCATACTGAGAGGCACAGTAAAAAGAAGAAGGCAAAAAAAAAAAAGAAAAAAAGGAGTATTTTGGTAATGCATAGAGGTTTCTTTCCTAATTAAAAACCAGGTTTGGAGGGAAATTGCTTTCAGCATGAAAATGAATTTTGCCCATTTGAATTGCCATGTACTTGGAAAGTTTTAAGTGTCATTCCACGAACAAAAGGCCCTCAGGCTTAGTGAAGACAGAACTGTGGATTTTAAAGGGAAGGAAAACGATGACAATTCTTCCAGAGCAAAGTTTAAAATGGCTCAGGATTAGTAATTTGCAAACTTCAATGTAAACATCGAGTTACAAATTCTGCACACGAGAAGATTTATAAAATAATCATGCTCATATGTTAAATTCAGGATAAATGGGTCACACTGGCTTAGATTGGTGCAAGAAAATACAATTTTCAGCACTGTGAGTCATCGGGAGCTGTGGTTATTGCTTCCAAAAAAGGCAGATAGAACTTACCTTCCCATCTGATTTTAGCAGAGCTCTAATTCTTCCTCACAACACATCACAGCCCTCAGAGGCAAGGACTGAGGCACTGAACAACCACTCAGCACCATTTTCTAGGCAACCTTGGAAAGAGTATTTAAAGTACCCTAAAATGTCATAACCAGCTCTTCCCGTTGGTTTTCTCCAGCCAACAGCCCGAACCCCTTGGTCTGAATGAATAAAAGTGGCTACAGGGCAACGGCCAAACGACATCGTAAATTCACAGCACTTTTTCTCCTGAATGATTTATTCTGTCCTTGAAATGCATCTTGGAAATGTCAAGTATCTGCTGCATATGGATGGGCTGAAAAATGGTACTGCCCTGCCAGAGGTTTGCCATGCCTGCCAGGATACATCTCCCAGGGATTTAAAATTCAAACATTTTTCCTGTGTGTATCTGTTGGAAAACAACACGTCCTGTCAGAGAATGAGGCACCTCCTATCACCTGCTCGGTGCTGAATGGCAGAGTGCAGAAATATTATCACTTTGGCATCTGCAAAGCAATTTACTGTTCTTTCTTACAGAGAGAAGTGCCCTCAAATTCCTGATGTTTGCCACTGAAGAAGGGTGAGCATATGAAAAGTGTCCTGAGGGTGAGTGACCACTGCACACTCATTCACCCATCCAAGGGCTCCCAAATTCCCACATGATGCTCTCAAGTGGTCCGAGATAATCAATCCAAGGCTCCACCTTTAAACCCTTTAATACATGAGGGCATTGTATCACAACAACAGACCTGATTAATTTTTCCCTATTTCCTTCTTTTTCTGATTTAAAAAAGTTATTTCAACAAGAGGTGGGGTTCTTTTGGGCTTTTTTTTTTTTTTTTTTTGTGAAGTAATTTATGGGTGTGACAGATTTTTTTTATTCACCAAATAATCTCTGAAAGTAATTTACAGGGCAAAGCAGCTCAAATGGCTTTGAAGGGGAAATTCCAGAGAGCTGCCTGTAGCACACCCTTTCTTTTCACAGAATCAGAGAATCATGGACTGATTTGAATTGGAAGGGGCCTTAAAATCATGTTGTTGCAACCCCTGCCATGGGCAGGGACACCTTCCACAGTTTCAGGTTTCTCCAAGCCCTGTCCAACCTGGCCTAGAACTCTTCCAGGGGTGGGGAGTCCATAACTTCTCTGGGCAATCTTTTCCTTGTGATTTACACTCAATACATTTTTTTTTTTTAATTTTGTAAGACATCCTCGTTAAAGAAAAATAAAATATGTTTCTTTAAATTAAAAAAAAAAGACCACGTTTTTTTTTTCCAAATTCATCTCGTGAATTCAAACAGTTTGAACAAATCCCTTCATTTCATTTGTTTGCAGCATTTTTCAGAAGTCTGTTTTTGTCTGTAATTAACACAAAACTCACTTTCCATTACACAGCTGAGTTATCAAGCCCT